AATTTGTGGGCCAAAAATTCAAGCTTGGGGTGCGGATTTTTACGGATTTCTTTCGGACTTCAACAGACAAAGTTGGTAATCCCTTTTAATTTATTGCATTCAATTTCTAATTTTACTAGACTTGTGCTATGCATTAGGTTAAATAGAATTAGTCTTAGCTTGCCTTGAATTGATTGAATTGAATTGCATTGTGCCAAATTGCCAATTTGGAATATTACCCGGTTTTAATTATTTGATTTGATTGGATTGGTGTGAGGCGAGTGTGAGGGATAATCTTGTTCAAGTTTTTGTCTTTGCTAGATTCATTCACAGGTACAATGGCAAGGGATAAGACCATTCACGCATCTCATGGTTCTTCGCGTGAAGCTCAATCCTTGGGGCCATCCAAGAAAATGTCCACCGACCATGTTGATCGTGATGGGAACCTTACCCTCACGAGTGCCCAAAGCCGAGAGTTCAAATCCAACCTTCAAAAGCGTGCAATCCGCGCCACAAAATTTTACCACCAAGATTCTATGGATCAACTCGGCCTTGACCACCACTTGCAACAATTATTTTTCCACATTGGTTGGCACCAGTTTCTCGATCTTTCTGCACGAACCTACAAGCAGCCCACAATCGAATTCCTCTCCACCTATGCTCGCAATGACACGGCGAGGGTACTCACTTTCAAACTCCAGGGTCGGCAGCACCGACTCAAGTACAAAAAACTCAACAAGATCATGGGCACATATGACATCTACAACTCCGACATTTACAGCCACCAATGGAGTCAATTCAAAAGCTTGCCCAACGTAGAATTTTGGACCCAAATCACGAGCTTGCCCAAGTTCAATCCCAGTCACCAAAATGACCCGTTTATCATGCATCCTTGCTGGAGAATTGCCCACCGGATCCTATCCACATCTATCTTTGCTCGTCACGAGCCGGGACAAATCAACACCGTTGAGTTGTATTTTCTCTATTGCATGTCGCGCCACCGTTGGTCTTTGACCGATTTCACCACCTTCTTTTTAGACAAATGTGATAGCCTCAGGACGAAGACCACTTGTGACATTTGTATTGGAGGTCTCGTTACCCTCATTGGTTTGGGTATGGGCCTTCAATTTCCAGCATCAGAATATGTACCAGTGGATGATCCACCTCTTTACCTTCTCGATTGCATTACTCTCATGCGGATGGAATTAATTCTACCTCATCCTAATCTTCTTGGACATTTCTCTTGGCTAAACCATGTCAAGGACCCAGTTTACATCTTACCCAATCCAAGTCTCTCCACCTTTACCACCAATGACCCCGAAACATGGTTTTTGCCTCAAGACTTGCCAGACGATGATGATGCAGCCGCGGATGATGACATGCAGGTGGATCCTGACAATGCTGATAGCCCATTCGAGGCCGAAGACCATTATGATCTTCCAATCCGCCAGCTACCTCTACCTCATCCAGCTCAAGCTTCCGGGTCACACTTTCAGCCCTCGCGAGAACACTCCCAGCCACAGTATGACTACCACTCACACCAGCAACCCAATGAGCCCGACCCTGCACACGAATTTCCTCTCGATATTTACAGCCAGCTTGCTTCCTTGCGCCTTCAAGGCAATAGAAACACCGCAACCATCCATCGCATAGAGGAACAACAAGCACGCACCCACACTTACATGGAGGACCTATGGTATCATTTTCGGCCCGAGGACGGTTATCCTTCTCGCGGACCTCCTCCATCTTGATCCCGGTATGATCCTTCCTTACTCTCATCCTAAGCATTGAGGACAATGCTTAATTTTAAGCTTGGGGTGAGGTAATCTAATATTTTTTTTATTGCATTTAGGTTGTATATAGTTGCATTTAGAGTTATCATTTAGGGCATTCATAAAAATTGCATAAAAAATTCAAAAATATTGCATATTTTCTTTCTTTCTTTTCTAATTTTCATACTTTTTAGATGCATTCTAGTTTAAGTTCATGCATTTTTGTTCTCTCTTGTCTTCTCATCCCACAGGTACCATAGCACCGAGTCATAAGTATTGAATCATAGATTGGTCCTGGGTCTTGATATGGAATTCCTTGTATTTGATGAATGGGGCACGTTTTGAGCCTCACAGACCACTTTGAGACCGCTTGTGTGGGGGTCAGATGCAGGTAGCTTGATTGGGTCTAGGTGCGGAGGGATGTGGTTGGTCATGCCAATGTGTGCGAGCAAAGACTAGCCCGGTAAGGTATTTTGAAGACATTGAAGATATTGAAGACTCGCATCTTGGTTTTGGAGGGAGTACCCCTTAGTACTCCCGAGTCTCGTCCGAGCCTTGTTTAGTTAGATTCTCACCGCCTTTTTAGGATAGGTTATCATTTTTCTAGGGGTCTAGAGTAGATAGTTAGATAGATTTTGTTTATCACACCTTGCATTGAGGTGCTTGATGAACTTTGAAATGGGTCCCCCAATTCACATCTTTTGGGACCAAGTCTTTTCGGTAACACCCATTTTTGAGTCATTTCCCGCCCTTTTTAGTTGATCTTGGCACATTGTCAATGATCATTAGGTGTTCATATTAACCTCTATCTATCACTCAATTTTCACTATTGGAGTCCTATGTTACTTGGTGAAATTCCTTAGACCTTCTAAGAAGCAACACAAAGAATGAAGAAATTTGAAAAAAAGTGAAGAAAATAAGAGCCTATTAAAGATGATTCAAGAAAAGCAACAAAAACAAAGAAAAAAAAACTGGATGTCAAGCAGCAAATGTGATTGAAGACCCAATAACAGAAGTTCAAGATTGAAGATTTAGGTTGTTAGGTTTAGATTTTGGTTAAGTATAGTTTTTATTATTTTATTTTATTTTTTGATTTTTGGTGAGAAAAGGCCCCGACGATGAGACAGTAGACTGTAAAGGATAGTACAAGGGAGAAGCCTCTGAAACCGGATGTTTGCCCGGAGGCCGTGCTACAAAACCCTATTTCGTTATTATACACTTTAGCCTGACAAATGTAGGAATCATAGTGTGTGAAGAGGCGTCTTTCCTTCGTGCACTATGGTCTACATTGGTGATTTAAAGTGCCCCCACTGGGCACATCTCTGTTTCCTTTGTCTTGCACACCGCGACCGCATTCAACCGTGATCTATTCGCCCATCAAGTGGTTGAGAATGTGGTTTATGGCTCTAAAGCGGGGAACATTTTAAAGATGCGTAAGGTCCATGAAGGACTAGTTCTGACCATGTTGACTGATGTTGACCAAGTTCTATGGTATCTTTCTTTTTTTTCTTTTTTAGAGAGTTCATCCCGAGCTCATTTTTAGTCTTGTTCTAACTTGAGGACAAGTTAGGTTTAAGCTTGGGGTGATTTTTTTCTTTTTTAGATAGAATGTGGTTTGAGCTCATTTTTAATCACCCCAAGCTTAAACCTAACTTGTCCTCAAGTTAGAACAAGACTAAAAATGAGCTCGGGATGAACTATCTAAAAAAGAAAAAAAAAAAAAAAAAAAAAAAAAAAAAAAAAAAAAAGATACCATAGAACTTGGTCAACATGGTCAGAATTAGTCCTTCATGGACCTTACGCATCTTTAAAATGTTCCCCGCTTTAGAGCCATAAACCACATTCTCAACCACTTGATGGGCGAATAGATCACAGCTGGATGCGGTCGCGGTGTGCAAGACAAAGGAAACAGAGATGCGCCCAGTGGGGGCACTTTAAATCACCAATGTGGACTATAGTTCACGAAGGAAAGGCGCCTCTTCACACACTATGATTCCTACATTTGTCAGGCCAAAGTGTATAATAACGAAATAGGGTTTTGTAGCACGGCCTCCGGGCAAACATCCGGTTTCAGAGGCTTCTCCCTTGTACTATCCTTTACATTCTACCGTCTCATCGTCGGGGCCTTTTCTCACCAAAAATCAAAAAATAAAATAAAATAATCAAAACTATACTTAACCTAAATCTAAACCTAACAACGTAAATCTTCAATCTTGAACTTTTGTTATTGGGTCTTCAATCACATTTGCTGCTTGACATCCAGTTTTTTTTTCTTTGTTTTTGTTGCTTTTCTTGAATCATCTTTAATAGGCTCTTATTTTCTTCACTTTTTTCAAATTTCTTCATTCTTTGTGTTGCTTCTTAGAAGGTCTAAGGAATTTCACCAAGTAACATAGGACTCCAATAGTGAAAATTGAGTGATAGATAGAGGTTAATATGAACACCTAATGATCATTGACAATGTGCCAAGATCAACTAAAAAGGGCGGGAAATGAATCAAAAATGGGTGTTACCGAAAAGACTTGGTCCCAAAAGATGTGACCCATTTCAAAGTTCATCAAGCACCTCAATGCAAGGTGTGATAAACAAAATCTATCTAACTATCTACTCTAGACCCCTAGAAAAATGATAACCTATCCTAAAAAGGCGGTGAGAATCTAACTAAACAAGGCTCGGACGAGACTCGGGAGTACTAAGGGGTACTCCCTCCAAAACCAAGATGCGAGTCTTCAATATCTTCAATGTCTTCAAAATACCTTACCGGGCTAGTCTTTGCTCGCACACATTGGCATGACCAACCACATCCCTCCGCACCTAGACCCAATCAAGCTACCTGCATCTGACCCCCACACAAGCGGTCTCAAAGTGGTATGTGAGGCTCAAAACGTGCCCCATTCATCAAATACAAGGAATTCCATATCAAGACCCAGGACCAATCTATGATTTAATACTTATGACTCGGTGCTATGGTACCTGTGGAATGAGAAGACAAGAGAGAACAAAAATGCATGAACTTAAACTAGAATGCATCTAAAAAGTATGAAAATTAGAAAAGAAAGAAAGAAAATATGCAATATTTTTGAATTTTTTTATGCAATTTTTATGAATTCCCTAAATGAATAACTCTAAATGCAACTATATACAACCTAAATGCAATAAAAATAAAAGATTAGATTACCTCACCACAAGCTTAAAATTAAGCATTGTCCTCAATGCTTAGGATGAGAGTATGGAAGGATCATACCGGGATCAAGATGGAGGAGGTCCGCGAGGAGGATAACCGTCCTCGGGCCGAAAATGATACCATAGGTCCTCCATGTAAGTGTGGGTGCGTGCTTGTTGTTCCTCTATGCGATGGATGGCTGCGGTGTTTCTATTGCCTTGAAGGCTCAAGGAAGCAAGCTGGCTGTAAATATCGAGAGGAAATTCGTGTGCAGGGTCGGGCTCATTGGGTTGCTGGTGTGAATGGTAGTCATACTGTGGCTGGGAGTGTTCTCGCGAGGGCTGAAAGTGTGACCCGGAAGCTTGAGCTGGATGAGGTGGAGGTAGCTGGCGGATTGGAAGATCATAATGGTCTTCGGCCTCGAATGGGCTATCAGAATTGTCAGGATCCACCTGCATGTCATCATCCGCGACTGCGTCATCATCGTCTGGCAAGTCTTGAGGCAAAAACCATGTTTCGGGGTCATTGGTGGTGAAGGTGGAGAGACTTGGATTGGGTAAGATGTAAACTGGGTCCTTGACATGGTTTAGCCAAGAGAAATATCCAAGAAGATTAGGATGAGGTAGAATTAATTCCATCCGCATGAGAGTAATGCAATCGAGAAGGTAAAGAGGTGGATCATCCACTGGTACATATTCTGATGCTGGAAATTAAAGGCCCATACCCAAACCAATGAGGGTAATGAGACCTCCAATACAAATGTCACCAGTGGTCTTCGTCCTGAGGCTGTCACATTTGTCTAAAAAGAAAGTGGCAAAATCGGTCAAAGACCAACGGTGGCGCGACATGCAATAGAGAAAATACAACTCAACGGTGTTGATTTGTCTCGGCTCGTGACGAGCAAAGATAGATGTGGATAGGATCCGGTGGGCAATTCTCCAGCAAGGATGCATGATAAACGGGTCTTTCTAATGACTGGGATTGAACTTGGGCAAGCTCGTGATTTGGGTCCAAAATTCTACGTTGGGCAAGCTTTTGAATTGACTCCATTGGTGGCTGTAAATGTCGGAGTTGTAGATGTCATATGTGCCCATGATCTTGTTGAGTTTTTTGTACTTGAGTCGGTCCTGCCGACCATGGAGTTTGAAAGTGAGTACCCTCGCCGTGTCATTGCGAGCATAGGTGGAGAGGAATTCGATTGTGGGCTGCTTGTAGGTTCGTGCAGAAAGATCGAGAAACTGGTGCCAACCAATGTGGAAAAATAATTGTCGCAAGTGGTGGTCAAGGCCGAGTTGATACATAGAATCTTGGTGGTAAAATTTTGTGGCGCGAATTGCATGCTTTTGAAGGTTGGATTTGAACTCTCGGCTTTGGGCACTCGTGAGGGTAAGGTTCCCATCACGATCAACATGGTCGGTGGACATTTTCTTGGATGGCCCCGAGAATTGAGTTTCACGCGAAGAACCATGAGATGCGTAAATGGTCTTATCCCTTGCCATTGTACCTGTGAATGAATCTAGCAAAGACAAAAACTTGAAAAAGATTATCCCTCACACTCGCCTCACACCAATCCAATCAAATCAAATAATTAAAACCGGGTAATATTCCAAATTGGCAATTTGGCACAATGCAATTCAATTCAATCAATTCAAGGCAAGCTAAGACTAATTCTATTTAACCTAATGCATAGCACAAGTCTAGTAAAATTAGAAATTGAATGCAATAAATTAAAAGGGATTACCAACTTTGTCTGTTTAAGTCCGAAAGAAATCCGTAAAAATCCGCACCCCAAGCTTGAATTTTTGGCCCACAAATTAAGTCTTTTGAATCTCCGGTGAGAAACAAAAATTTTGAAATTTTTGGAGAAAATTGGCGGCGGCGGCCGGCGGCCGGTGGTGGAGCTTGGTTTTCCGGCGATAAGATTTTCCCAAACTAAGAGTAGATCGGTGCGCGGTGGAGTGTTTGGTACAGGTTGCCCTAAGAATTTTTGGAATTGGATGTAAGGTTGCGTCGGGATCTACGGTTTTCGGTTTTCCGGCGACGATGAGAAGGGTGGCGGCCGGTGACGGTTTCGGAGTTAAAAAGGGTGGGGTCTAGGCGGAATTAGGTGGGTAAGGTAGTGCTGGTGGAGCGCCGGCGAAGCGTTGCTTTTCCGGTGACGAAAAACAGCTGCGACGGGGACGCCGACGGAGGGTAAACGCGAATGGGATGCCGACGGCGCTGGAAGTTGCCGACGGAGGGACGGCGACGCGCTGACAGGTAGCGCCGACGTGCGGTCGGAGATGGAACCGGTGGCGTAGACAGCCGCGACGGCTATGTGCGGTCGGAGAAGGAAGCGGTGGTAGTCGATGTTCGTTGCTGATGGGAGGCACAAGGAGGGAAAGGGGGCCGACGGGTTAAAGGGGTTATAAGGTTGGGTGATAAATGGGTCGAATCCGGTTCAAATAGTGGGTATGGGGCGGGTGTCCGGGTGAGTTTTGCAATTTAGGGCAAATATGGTGGCCGCGCAATAAATAAAATGATTTAGTCTTGGCCGCGCAAAAGTCCTGCGCGGGTGGGTATTGGCCGCGCGCAACAATCAGTTTGCACCCCTTGTTTGTGTAATTTGGAACTCGGGACCTGTGCAGCTGGGGTTGGTCGCGCAAAGACTGCGCGGGCACCCGCGCAAAAGTCAAATTTTTGGAAATTTTCAAACTTCACCAAAATCACTGGAAGACTTCTATATGCTTATTTTTATGGCTAACTTCAAATGTAGAAACACCCAAAACTTCAAATGGACATTATTTATTTACATTGCATTTATTTAACGTCTTTGCCAAGACATAGTCCCGCTTCCATCAACTTTCGTAATTTGGTATTTCCAATGTTATGTTGTCGAATTCTCCCATATCAAAGCCTTCATAAAATGGTTTCAAGCGGTGCCCATTCACTTTGAATATTTGATTTGTTTCCAAACTCTTAATTTCAACCGCACCATGATCAAACACTTTTATGACAATAAAAGGTCCGTGCCATCGAGATCGCAACTTTCCCGGGAATAGTTTTAAGCGTGAATGATAAAGAAGAACTTTTTGGCCCGGAATAAAGTGTTTTCGAGTGATGTGCTTGTCATGAAACGCTTTCGTCTTATCTTTGTAGATGCTTGCGTTTTCGTAAGACTCGTTTCTTAACTCCTCGATTTCTTGAAGTTGCATTTTTCGGTGCTTTCCACTTTCTTCAAGATTGAAATTGCACTTTTTAACCGCCCAATATGCCTTGTGTTCCAATTCCACCGGTAAATGACAAGATTTTCCATAGACAAGGCGGAATGGAGACATACCGATTGGAGTTTTGTAGGCGGTCCGATACGCCCATAAAGCATCTTCTAACTTTAAGCTCCAATCTTTTCGGGTAGTGTTGACGGTCTTTTCAAGAATTTGTTTGACTTCTCTGTTTGACACTTCGGCTTGGCCATTTGTTTGTGGATGATAAGCGGTTGATATCCGGTGTGTGACACCATATCTCTTCGTCATTGCTTCCATCATTTTATTGCAAAAATGAGTTCCCCTATCACTCACCAAGGCTCTCGGTACACCATATCTTGCGAAAATGTTTGACTTCAAGAAGTCAATAACAGTTTTTGAATCATCATGTCGTGTAGGCTTTGCTTTAACCCACTTTGAAACGTAATCAACTGCCAAGAGTATATAAGTATAACCAAATGAAATGGGGAAGGGACCCATGAAGTCTATTCCCCACACATCAAAGATTTCACAAATAAGGATAGGACTTTGAATCATCTCATGCCTCATGGATATGGTGCCCGTTCTTTGACATCTATCACAACTCCTGCAAAATAGATAGGTATCTCTTGACATTGTTGGCCAATAGAGTCCGCATTCAAGCACCTTTCGCATGGTTTTGTTTTGACCAAAATGTCCCCTGCATGCATATTCATGGCAAAATTTCAAAATTGACTCGACCTCATTTTGATGAACACACCTCCATATTAGTTGATCCGGACAATGTTTCCAAAGATAAGGGTCGTCCCATACGTAGTATTTGGAATCACTCTTCAACTTGGCCTTTTGGTGCTTGGTAAAGGCGTGAGGAATTTCTTTAGTAACCAAGTAATTGACAATATCCGCATACCATGGAATGGAATTTGAGATATGGAAGAGGTGCTCATCCGGGAATTCATCAAGGATAGGAGAAGAAGAACCGCCAACATTCAACCGACTTAAGTGGTCCGCAACTAGGTTTTCGGCACCACTTTTATCCTTTATCTCAAGGTCGAATTCTTGTAAAAGAAGAATCCAACGAATCAACCGTGGTTTGGCATCTTTCTTGGTCATAAGATACTTTAATGCGGCATGGTCGGAATATATAATTACTTTTGTCCCAAGAAGATATTGCCGGAATTTTTCCAAGGCGAATACAATGGCTAGAAGTTCCTTTTCAGTGGTGGAATAGTTGGCTTGAGCATTATCCAATGTTTTAGAAGCATAGTAGATGACATGTGATGCTTTGCCCTCTTTTTGACCTAAGACCGCTCCAATAGCAAAATTGCTTGCATCACACATTATTTCAAATGGAAGCTCCCAATTTGGAGGTTGGATTATTGGTGCGGAAGTGAGCAAGTCTTTAAGTTTGTCAAAGGCTTCTTGACATGCATCATTGAAGTCAAAATCGATATCTTTTTGAAGAAGAAGGCACATTGGTCGCGTAATCTTGGAGAAATCTTTGATGAATCTTCTATAGAATCCCGCATGACCCAAGAAAGATCTCACTTCTCTAACACATGTTGGGTAAGGTAGGGTTTGGATGACATCAATTTTGGCTTTATCAACTTCAATGCCCTTTTTGGGGACAATGTGTCCCAAAATGATTCCTTGATTAACCATGAAGTGACATTTCTCAAAGTTTAACACCAACTTTTTCTCTATGCACCTTTTCAAAATCTTCTTAAGGTTACCCAAACATTCATCAAACGAATTGCCATACACGGTGAAATCATCCATAAACACTTCGATTATACTTTCAACATACTCGGAGAAGATACTCACCATGCATCTTTGGAATGTGGCGGGAGCATTTCATAATCCAAATGGCATCTGCTTGTAAGCAAATGTGCCAAAGGGGCATGTAAAAGTCGTTTTGTCTTGATCTTCGGGGGCAACGGGTATTTGGTGAAAACCCGAGTATCCATCAAGGCAACAATAATGCGATTTCCCCGCCAATCGCTCGAGCATTTGATCAATGAAAGGAAGAGGGAAATGATCTTTCCGCGTGCTTGAATTCAACTTTCTATAATCAATACACACCCTCCATCCATTTTGAACTCGAGTTGGTACCATTACACCTTTGTTATTCTCCACAACCGTGATTCCCGTTTTCTTGGGAACCACTTGCACCGGACTAACCCATTTGGAATCGAAAATTGGATAAATCATATCTACATCAAGTAGCTTGATTATCTCCTTCTTGACAACTTCCATCATGGGAGGGTTTAATCGTCGTTGGGCTTCCCTCCTAGGTTTGCAATCATCTTCCATGAGTATCTTGTGAGTGCATACATTAGGACTTATCCCTTTGATGTCCGCTATGGTCCACCCCATGGCTTCTTTATGCTCTTTCAAGACTTCAATCAATTGGTTTTCTTCAAAGTCTTTCAATTGAGAAGAGATAATCACCGGTAAAGTCCCATCTTGACCTAGATAAGCATATTTCAAATGGATAGGTAAAGCTTTCAACTCAAGTGTGGGTGGTTGGATTATGGAAGGTGGCATCTTGATTGGAGAATGAGATAATGCAACTTGAGAAACATCCTTCTTTGTGGAATTAGTAATTTCTAAAGCCTTCACAATATTTTCGACTTCGGAATCCAATGTATACATATCCAAGGTATTCTTCAAACTTTCACCTTCAAGACTCATGTTAAGCACCATCTTTAAAAGATCCTCATTTGATAACT